ACACCCTCAACGGGATAAAAATATCCATTTTCGATGTGGAACTCAGACATTAATGTGAACCAAAGCACTGGGATTTATATATGTGTTTTGATCTTTAAATATTTTGCTTTTGCTATGTCATAAAATGAGTGAAAATATCATTACTGAATCAAACTATATAAACATTTTTAAGGTACTTTACTTACACTGAACTATCAAGTGATTTTTTTCAGAAAGACTGGGCTGAGGATGCCAGACCTAGCAAAAAATTTTAAGGGATAAGAATGAGAGAAAAGTGAGTTAAACTTTGGAAGAGTGTAACTCAGTGAAAGAAAAATTTTAAATGAAAAGCTATTGAATATAAAATTGGTTTCCTTTGACAGCAGTGAATTTGTCATTAAGAAGATATTCAAACAGATGATGAAAGACCATTTGGTTCAGAGGAAATTCAAACAACCGATGAGATTTGGACTAGATGATGATGAAGACAGTGACAACTATTATTGCCATCATTATCATCAGAAGCAGGGGACAGCAGGAGGTACCATTTCTAGACATTCCCTTCATGTCAAGTTCTGCATTAGCAATTAACAAACATTATCTTACCTACTGACAACCACATATGATATAGGTATTAATATTTTCTTGGTTGTAAAAGTAAGAAAACAAGTGTTTGCAAAGGTTAATAAATTGTTCAAAGATCACTCATTGAGCAAATGGTACTATTGGGTGTTACTCAAGTCCAACAATAGATAATATGCACTTAACCATGGTGTTTTAGTGCCTCTTGATATAAGCAATTTCTAAGAACCTCATGTATATATGATTTCATAATTCTATGTACCGGTTTTGGTGGATGAGAACATCTTAAAATAGGCAAGTATTTAATACGGCAAAATATTTAAAAGACATATAAATACCCTCAAAATGTATACAGTAATTTTTCACTTTATTCTTCTACTACAAGTTAATTTTATTTGATCTTGCCTCCACATTTTGCTTCTACTCTCTCCTCTCCTGAACTTCTATATTCAAGACAGCGATGGGCTAAGACCTTTATGCCCATCCTCAAGTGTAGTTTGAGGTGGGCATGAAGATAGATTCATTATGTAACTTTCTTGTTGTTGTAGGGGGTGGAACATAGTAGGTGCTCACTAAATGCTAGTTTCTCTTCCTTTGCCATTTCATGTCAAGTTATGCAAAAGTATCATCTAATTCCAGCATCATGAGATGCAAGGTACTAAGTCTCTCTAAAGAAGTAGGGATCTGCCACTTTTGCTTAAGTAATACTTTTGAGTAAAGGTCTCTTTAGTACTTACTCATTCAATATATCTACTAGTAACTCCTGAAAAAAAATTTATAGTTGTTATTCAGCAATTAAAAAGATGTCTAATCACATTGAGATAAGGATTGAAATACAGAGTTTTATAGCAGTAAATCCCCTAACTTTATAAACTTCTGTGCTAATGCATTCAAGTGGTATTTATAAGACAGGCTGTCATGACAGAATACTTAATTTAGTATATATCCACCTCAATCTGAGTGATGTGATACTTTACTACTTAGAAGCTACATTTACATATAGATGAAAGCTAGGAGTTCCTGGAGTTTTCATTCAATTCCCAGATGGAAATCTTTATAAAGATGAACATTTCTCATTAATTTATCTTCCTAAGTGACTGCTATCACACTAATCAATTTGTACTCACTTTACCGGGGTTGCAACCTTCAATAAGGAAATCAGATACAGTATCGAACGCTGTGTAGATTACTTAACCGATCTCCATCATTCTTAGGTCAGTGAAACAAAATACCAAAGTGAAGTCAAGTGTTGCTTCATTGGTTATCTTTACTTTGAGGAGCTGACTAATCTTGTTCAACTGGACACTGATCTTTCTTCAGTAGGAAAAAACAGGAGGAGATGCCCCATGAAACAGAAGCAGCGGCTGTGATCTACAGAGAAATGACACTGTCCTTAATTCTACAGAGGACAGTCTTCCAGAAATGGTCTACAAGCCATGATCAGGCACATCAGAAAATAACTGATAAGCTGAAGAGGAAAGAGTGGGGCAAGGAACGGTGACAAAAAGCACATGGAGGGTTCATGTGAGCATTTGCATGAGTCTGTGATTTAGTAAATATGATAGATCCTATTGGTTACCTACCCAACAGTCATTCCTCTCGCCTTCTTTGCTACCAGAATCTCATTTTGTTCAACTGGCCACAACCCCCGTGCCTGACGGGAGGGGAACCATGTAGACTAAATCACCATCTTCTAATCTTATTCTTTCACCGTTTTGTGTCAACACACTTGTTTTCAGTATTTGTGACAATTCAAAAAGAGACTAACTACAGCCTTTGTTGCCACACCTAATGCTGTATTAAATAGATTGGTTGGGTGAAGGTCTTTCTAAAAAGGTCATGTCACAGGGGATACCAGGATGAGCAGAAAGAGCCCTCCATGAAAACACCTGGCAGAAAATGTTACAGGACTTAGTGAGGACTTCAGATTTTATCCCAGATGCAATGAGAAGTCAACGGAGCATCCTTTGCAAAGAGGTGAAGTGACCTGATGTTTTGAAGACTACTTTGGCTACAGTTTGGATTAAGAGGCTAAGAGTAAAAGGCAGCAGACAGTGAGTTATTGCAAGCAAAAAAGGATGGTGGTGGATCTGGGGTGTGGCGTGTGATGTGGAAGAGTGAATGGATTTAGGCCCAAGTTTCAGGGAAAGTTCAGATGATTTACTGATGAATTTTATTATGTATGCATATCCGTAAGTCTTTTATCGTTCAGTTAGGAAATACTTTGTTATCAGAAGCATACAAGGCTATAAAGCTTAATTTATTTACTTGTTTTGAAAGAAAAACTTTATTAAGAACAATGGAAAATAATGGAACACAATTTGCTTTAAACAGTGATTTAAAAGCACCGAGTTTAACTCAGATTTTTTCAATGTTAAAGTAAGTTTTAAAAAAAAATTATCACTATTTTAAAGCTTACAATCAAGTGTATCTCTGAGTTGGAATCAGCTATCTGTCAATTTTCAGATAGGCTGGCTGGCATATTTGCTAAAAGTTCAATTCTTACGTAAGAATTCAAGAGATCTATCAGGTACCTTGTTTCAGGTCTTCCAAAAACACATTTCTCAATTCCTTTATACAACTCTAATTCTACACCAATGGAACTTATTTCAGCATGTTTTAGTTAACCTATATCAATAATTCTACCCATGATCTTAAAATATACTGCCTGTACCACACCCAAACTAATCAGAGCATTCATGTATGTATAGAAATATCACTAATATAGATTAGAGAGGTTGGCAAACTACTGCCTGTGGCCTATTTTTCTATGGCTCCTGAAGATTGGTTTTGACATCATTAAAGAGTTGTTTAATAAAACAGGCTGTTCACTCCCTGGCCCTTCACAAAAAAAGTATGCCCACACCATGAGAGGTATATGACCAAACTGAACTAATGAGTCAAACACGTTTATTATAGATAAGACTGTTAATCTAAAGTATCGCTAAAAACAAGCTGATGACTTAACTAACCAACTTGCCAGGTTGGGATAACTAACTAGATATAGATCAAGAGCAATGCACATAACAAGTATTTCTTGAATGCTTGAGACTGACCCTCTATTTACCTGACCCTCCTCGTTATAGGGCCATCTCATTACTCCTCCCAGAGTACACGATACCCAATGACAGTGAATGAGTTTACAATACTCTTGGTACTTCAAGTATCCAAGCCAATGTATCATAGGTTCTAGTTACATTTTATAAACAATCACTGGGTGGCTGAATTGACTTGCTATTTTTGATGATTTTAAAATCCTGGCCCCTGCCCTTTTCACTGGGCACACAGAAAAGCAAACTTCTTGGCAATTTAACAGTTACACTCATTTTAACACAATTCAGGATTGAGATAGCATTCAGATAAAATTAACCACTGCCCCAAGCCACTGAATTTCATTAATTATGCTCATCAATGCACACAATGCAAATGAACTTTCCTGTTGTTCCTTATTTTCAGGCGGACCAATTGTAGGCAGAGCAAGTGCATTAATAACCTTTTTCAACCAGCAAATTCGACCGCCCCACTAAAAGACAAAAATAAAAACTAAAGAAACCAACCAACCAACCCACCAACAAACAAAAACAAAAACACTGAAAAACACAAACAATCAATTTGGATAATCTTGGTTAATATTATGTGGATATTCCTACATACCTTGTAGGTATGTAGGAATCACTTTTACTATGATAAAAAATAAAAGAAAGAATGAAAGAAAAAGCTTAGGTAGGAGATAGTAGTTAAGAGAGAAAGCCTGATATCCTTGCCCTGTTACTTGAAAAGAGTGTAGCTTTGGAAACAGTACTTCTCCAGGCCTCAATTATTTAATTTGTAAAATAGAGGCAACAAGTGTCCTTAACCCTAGTGGGGACAATCCATCATTTATTATCATTATATTAAGTAATGATAATGCATGCAAAGAAGCAATCTGCCCGGAGGAGGGCACACACTCTGTAGAGATTACTTAAATACCATTTCAGACCGTAGTTGTTGATACTGAACTGATTCTAACCATCACCAGCTACATAGTCCAAAGACTAAATGAAAATCAAAATTCTAGTTCTTCAGCTCTGTGTTTCCAGTTGGCTTTGAAGCACTTGATGATGAAACACAACAGCAATATTGCCTTGCATTTATATACTATTCATGGTTTTTCTACATTTATTGTCTAGCCGTATTTGCACCATACTCTATAAAGTTAGTTAGAAGGGGTTGTTACTCTCTACCATGCAAGAATGAGAAGAGGCTCAGAGGTCATCTCGCTTGTTGACAGCATCACTGCTGCGATTATATTCCAAGATTCAGATATGAATACAAATTCATCTCACTACCAGTATCAATCCCCACCCCAATCCTCTACACTCAGTTGATGATGGTAAGATAAATTTCCCCAGATTTAGATTCCAGAGGAGCAATCATTCCTTCTCTCAGCAGAAACTTACTGGTCGGGACCGGATTTCTTTGGCGTAGAGAGGTTGTAAGAATTCTGAGTCTCCTTCTAGCCTGAGACCTTTTTCTGTGATCCTCAAGTTTCCCATTCCATCCTGAAGTAGAAACACAGAGATAACAGGGAAAATGTGATGAGCCAAAATTTCCAAATACCCCAGGGTTGTGAGAATTGAAACAGACCCTTTTTTTTTTTTTTTGAGGGTATGGGATGAGGGGGAGTACAGACACATAAAAATACTAGGTGGTACTGTTCGATGCAATTGTGCATATTATCCTTTTTGCTTGCTTATTCAGAGAAATTTCTGTCCCAAGCCATCTGTAATGTCCCCTAGTCCTTCATGTGCACAGATGCCCTTCATGCTGGGCAGCACCAAAAGGATGGAGGCAGAAGATGAATGGGAAGAGAGAAAAGGATGATTCTCCAGGTCAAGATGAAAGATCCTGTTTCCAAAACTCTCTGCAGAAATTTCATACCGGCAGTCTGTGGGCCAAATTCAGCCATTGGACCTGACTTGTTTGAATCACAAAACATTTAAGAAGTCCAATTTGTTACTAACCTTTTTGTTGATATTTTATTATGGAAACAATATATACAAAAGTAGAAAAAATAAATATCAAACACCTATTACTCATGTTTAACAATTATCAATTTATGGCTATCGTTATCATTTTTTTTTTTAAGACATGGTCTCACTGTGTTGCCCAGGTTAGAGTGCAGTGGCATCATCATAGCTCACAGCAACCACAAACTCCTGAGCTCAAGTGATCCTCCTGCCTCAGCCTCCCGAGTAGCTGGGACTACAGGTAAGTGCCACCATGACTGACTAGTTTTTCTAATGTTTGTAGAGAGGGGATCTCCTTATGTTGCCCAGGCTGTTTTTGAACTCCTCTCCTCCTCAAGTGATCCTCCCTCCTTGGCCTCCCAAAGTGCTGGGATTATAGGCATGAGCCACTGTGCCTAGCTTGCTATTGTTATCTATTATACCCAACTCCACTCTTCTTTGTTTAGATATAACCATAATCACAGTACCCCCCACACCCCCCAAAACAAAAATCATCCCTTAATATCAAATGTCTAGTATCAATGTTCAAATTTCACTAACACATATTTTCTCTCTTTATAATTTGCTTATTTGAATTAAGTTCCCTATAGCAATTGGTAGTCACATAAAATACTAGGTCATTTCCTGAAATCTCCAAAGTCAGTCAGTTTGTCTCATACACATATACTTTATTGGATAAATGTCATTTTTAATAGAATTTATGATAGTTTAGATTTTGCAGAACATTTCCATAATTTCATATAATACGTTCCTGTGTCTGCTGTATTTTCTATAAATTGGTAGTTATATCAAGTAGCTTGATCAGATTCAGGCTGTTCTCTAGAAAGAGTATATCCTAGGTAACGGGGTATATTAATTTTCTATGGTTACAACAACAAATAATGGTGGCTTAAAACAACCCAGATTAATATGGAAGTAACATTAATTGGAAATCAAGCATGTAGGAAGGGGAGGAGGGGATGAATAAATACACACCTAATGAATAAAATACACATTATCTGGGGGATGGGCACACTTACAACTTCGACTCAAATGGTATAAAAGCAATTTATGTAACCAAGACATTTGTACCTTCATAGTATGTGAAATAAAAAAATAAATAAAAAAGAAAATAAAATAACACAAACTTATCATCTTATAGTTCTATATGTCAGAAGTCTAACCCAAGAATCAATGGGCCAAAATCAAGGTATCAGAAAGGCTGTGTCCCTTTCTGGACTCTCTAATGAATAATCCATTTCATGGCTCTTTCTAAGGCTCTGGGTTGCCAAAGGCTGTGTCCCTTTCTGGAGTCTCTAATGAACAATCCATTTCATGGCTCTTTCTAAGGCTCTGGGTTGCCCACATTCCCGGGCTCATGACCTACTTCCAAATCTTCAAAGTCAGCAACGGCTGATTGAGATTTTCTCACATCCGATTACTCTGACACTGAATCTTCTGTGTCTCTCTTCCATTTCTAAAGGCTTGTGATTTCAATGGGCACATGGGCATAATCCAGAATAATCTCCCCATTTTAAAATCACCAGATCAGCAATTGTAATTCTGTCTGTAATCTTAATTTCCCTTAATTTAACATATTCACGAGTTATGAGATTAGGATGTGGATATTGTTGGGGGGAGGGAGGGTGTTTTTCTGCTTACTACATGGGATATTCGTCTATCTGGAGGCACATTTTTTGCTGTGATGTTATCAGCCATTGGTGATCTTTGCCTAGGAGATTTCACTAGAGGTTTCAAACTGGTTATATCCTAATTCTATTATTTCTTCTTCCTTTATTAGCTGGAATATTCTATCAAGAGAAATTTCATCTCAGCAACTATTTACTTACCCTAAATTACAGTTTGTAGAGGAACTTGACAGAGCTTGATTTTTCCTCCTTTATTTATTGATCTTCAAAATATTGGTTACCTAATACCTCCCAAACCAATAAAGGTTTTTATTTTTGAAATATCACTATGAACATTTTGATTTGTTTCATTCCAGCACAGTTATTATTCCTATGATCTAACTGTCCTACCTCTGGGTCAGGAAAGTCTCTTCATGCTGACTTCTGAAACCTTTTAATATGAGTCTTCGATGGCCCTCTTGCTTCTGGCATAAAATAATCCAGGGTTATCATATATAGTCTTGCCCCAGGCCTAGAATCACTAATTTCTAGTAAGAAGCCCTGGTTTATCTTAGTGGAAATGGGTATTTAGAGACCACAAACTGGGAGCTTTGGGTGCTCATTGCTACTGGATTAGCCTTTGTATCTACATAGATAGCTAGAAGATAAGTTTTGTTTTGTTTTACTAAAATACACCTTGATTTTACATGAAACTTTAATTCAAACTCAGGACTTAAAGATTTCCATTTGACCTCATGGATTTTACAGTGCGATTACCTTTCTCCCAAAATTTCTGTTCTTAATAACACCAACATGGTTACTTATTTGATTTAACCCACAACACAAACACATAACAGTTCAGAATACCAAAACTACTACCATACTATTATTTTAATAAAAACAACTTAAAATGTGTCAATTTTTAAAATCTTTAAAGCTTACCCTACTAGGAAAGTACACTCAAACTGCTCAGTTTCAAAGTCACTTGAAATAATTCCTTTCTGTGTGGTTAGGGCACCAGCCTGACATCCAGAGAGTGTTTAATTAATTGTTTCATTTTTTTTTTCTATTTAATTTTCCATGACTGCTTTTTTAAAGCCCAATTTTGTTGTATTGATCTGTGAATGATTTATATGGTATCAAAGTCAAATCTACAAAACAAAAAATATTCAAAGAAGTCTAACTTCTGTCTTTCTATCAGGTTTCCTCTCCCTAACAATGTGTGTGTGGTTGTATGTATACACACACATCATGCATACGTGTTTTTTTTTAAATATATTCATCAACTTTCCAATAACATTTGAAAATTGAAGTATCTGAATTAAAAAACAAAAACAAAACAGGTTTCTAGCTGCTCATGAAAACGAGAGCCCCTGGCAGTCCTAAGGTAAGGAGCCGCCCTGCTTGGACACAACATATGGATGGTGTCTAGTTTGCTACAGTCTCCACCCAACCTATGTTGCTGTGTTATCTCAGACTCCTGCAGCCTAACCCTAACCCTCTTGCACTGCCACTGTGCCGCATTCCTCAACACATTCAGTACAGCTTCCACACAGGGGGTTGAATGAGCAAGTGGGCAATGGGCATTTTCCACTACCCCTTCTTCATAAAAGCACTTCAGCCTGTGGATCAGAATAGATCCTGCGGGTCAGTATTGTTCCTTCATGGATGGTGTACCATCTGTGTACTTCTGTTTCTGGCACGAGTGGGGACAGCTCTGCCAAGAGGGCCGCAGACTGGGCATTCAAGCCCAGCAGGAGAGGCGGTAGGCTAGAAGACGTGTTCCTATCTCAGCAGTAGCAGGTGGAACACGCAACAAAGGGGAAGAAGCAAAAGCAAATATCTGAAGGCACCTCCAACCCTCTCAAAATAGATATATAGATTAGCTCTCGTGTTGGGTTATTCTTCACCATTTCTGCTAGCCGCAGAGGCAGACTTTTCCACAGAAACACACACTAAAACTGACTAAACTGTTTTGGGGTGTGTTTTTTTTTCTTTTTGGCATGATGTGTTTACAAAATAAACAAGAACTTTTAAATATTCTTAAATAAAAGATTATATTTCTGGTATTTAGCAAGCCAATTCCAAATATCTTCTCCTCTTACATACATTACATACATATACTCACTGCCCTTTATTGATTGATTGATTACTTGTTATGCACTGATTACTATGGGCTTTTATTCATATCTCATTTTCTCTATTATTCCTAAAACCTACCATGTTACTTCTTGGATTTTATCATAAGGAAATAATCATGTAACTGCGAAAATATTTAGCTATCGAGTTCATTGCTATGCCAGTTATAACAGAAAAATATAAACCTAGAAACTATCTGAAAGTTACATGTTTAAAGGATAATTGAATATATTATAATGGAATACTATGCAGCTCTTGTAGAAGAATATTTAAGAGTACAGATAAATATTCATAATGCATTATTGATGGAAACAATCATTTAAATGAATATATATAATAAGCTCATTTTAAATAACTATATTATACATTGATATGCATATAATAATGTGGATATAACAGAAAAAAATTTTAATGGAAATTTTATAGGAGCAAAACCTAAGGGGATATATATTCACATGTTTATAATTAGTATCTTTGCATGTCTGGGTTATGAGTGCTTTCTATTTTCTTCTTTTTGCTTACCTATACTTCCTAATTTTTAAAAATAATTTTCTATAAACACTAATTGCAATAAAAACTTAAGTAGCAAAAAATAAATCTTTCTTTAGTGATTTATCTTAAAAATCAACATTTATCAAGAATGTATACTTTATATCGTATACTAAGTAGTACACATATATTACCTCATGTCATCTTTTCAATGACCTTATGAGATAGTTATTATTTTCCTTATTTTACAAGTGAGCACATTTTTTGGTAAGTAACTTGCTTAAAATCACACAGCTA